GAATATTTATCCACACACACATTTACTTTTCATAGAGGAGATTTTCCATTCTACACTGAGCTAATGAGTTTTTCTGGTTTCCTAAACCAGTCATGTTTTCCTTCATACATGCCACTGAATTGCCAATAAGTTATTTTGTCAACTTTTAGGTATGTGTGCGCTAACATAAATTAATAAACGGTCTATTCTGTGTAAATGACTCGTTATAAAATAGGTACTCGACCAGTGACTGCAATGAACAGTTTATCAAAATAATCATCACCATCTTGTTTTCCCATTTAAAAAGTGCATGTCAAAGCCACACTAAATGAACAACAACTTCTCCAATCCCAGCCGAAGAGTAACGGGAACTGAAAGTTCCACAGCACCACCAAGTGGATTTCTGTAATGTTTCTCTGGGGAAAAAGGGAAAAGTTGCAAACAATAAAACTGGAATAAACTGAACTAAAATAGACGAAAATTGCATTTGGGGCGAATTAACTGCAATGCACGTAACTGGAGTAAACGCCACTCTGATTCGCATCTCCAAATGAGTTGCTGGATATACTGAATCAACTGTTTTTCATTTTTTCAACATCTCACCATCACAATCACTAAATATAAACTTCCCGAACTTACCTCTTCCACTGTTAGTGGCATGCATATCCGGTATTCCTTCAACAACATCGTCCTCTCCTTATGATTCCCACGCTAGATCGAGTGCCAGTGATCAGCTAAACCAAGTCAGCCATCTGGTGATGGATGCAATCACGAGCTGTCATATATATAAAGATGGGAAATATCAGTGCACTTCTGTTGGAGCGCTCGTGCTGTTGTGTTTGCAGCGCACGCTTGCTCGCGCAGCTTGTAGTGCAGTGATGATGTTGCAATGTTGCACTCTTGGAATTTCCCGATGCTCGTGCGTTTTTACGCACTGGGAAACGCGCCAGAAACGCACCCGGGATCCAGTGGAGAAGACGACTGTCGCAGCGTCTCGGTGTTTATGGGGTTTTAAACTTTCAAACGAAGCGGGTCTGTGCTCTCGTCTTCTTTCTAATGTAGCCCTGCACCCCGTGCACCTGTCCCGTCCCGCTCCGCATAGATGATACAGCGATGGTTTGTGTCAATCTCAGCGTAAACTCGGTGCACCTGGAGTTAGTGGCATTGTTTTCCTCCTCTAGTGAAATGAGAGATGCTGTCGTTTCCTCCGCTGCGCTAACGCGGGATGGTAAGTTTGCAAGGAGAACGACACACTGTGGCGGTGTGGCGCAACGCATCACAATGTGTTCATCGGCCAATACCGCCTTCAAGCGACAGGCGGCGCTACTGACTGTGAAATCACACAACAACCGCGGCGATAAACCCAGCGAAAAAGAGTTGGTTGGTTGCAACAGAACTGGATCACTTATATGCTCTTGTAACATATAATACACTACAACATGTAAGATACTGTGACAAATATTAAATAAATGAATATTCAGTAAATATGAAAATATTGAAATGTATTATAATTATAATGTATTATAATGTAATGTATTATCAGAATCAGAAAGAGCTTTATTGCCAAGTATGTTTGCACATACAAGGAATTTGTTATAGTGTCACAAGCTTCCAGTACACGGAGACAACAACAACACACAGATAATACAAATAAGATGTGAATAAAATACACATGCATAAATATAAACCACAAAAAAAGAATAAATTGTATGTACAGGTGTGCTATAGATAGAATAGGAATAGAATAAAATAAAATAAAATAAAGTTGTAGGGATGTACTAGGATTTCTGTTTCTGTTTCTGTTTTTTATGAGACATGTTTGTTACTTTGGCAATTCTGCATGTGAAATATTTAAGCCAATAAAGTATTTTTAAGTTAAATTGACTACATACTGTATATTTTCAGTCTGCATCCCATTTTATGCATGGTGCCTCCAAAAACCAAACTGATAAC